GCTACGCTACTAGGTCTTTTAAAGAACTAAAAGAAGATAGATATTCTAGTTGATTTATATTAGTTTAGGGTTTTATAAAAAGAAAATAGGGAAAAAGGAGGAAGGTTAAAGAACATAATACTTATAGTTATAGGCATTATCCCTGTTTTCTAGACTATATTATATACCTGCCTTCGCAACTCTACCTAATACTCCCTCTAAATATCCTTATACTCTACCTACTAGAAATTTAACTAGGTACCTAGACCTATAGCTACCTCCATATCTTTTACTATCCTCTATAGGTTAAAAGACTCCTCTATAGCAGCCTCTACCTCCTTATATAATACGAAGTATAGCGAGTAACTAGTAGAACGTAGTATAGAGCTACTTTATAGCTCTTTTATATACTATACCGATACCGAGGGAGGAGCTATCCTAGTACTTAGTATTAGAGAATAGTTTAGTAGGAAAGTGTTAGAACTTCTTAAGGAGGGCTTCTAGGGAAATTGATAAGTTCTACCTAGATCTAGATAATAATATTCTACCGAGCAGTTAGGGAATTAAATAGCGAGCGAAAGGATAAAATTCATACCTAATAAGTAGAGTTTCTAAACTAAACTATAATAGCTTGTATATATATATGCTTTTAATTAGTTAGTACTCTTAGCTAATTGTCTATAGATTTAGGGTTATATAAGTACCTTCCTATAACTGAAAAATGCCGGCTACGCTACCGGCTATACTCTCGTATCTTATAAAGGGCTTGCTTCGAGTTACGTATATATTCTTATACTTCTTAGAAACCGATAAATTCTATAGTTCGAACTAGCTACTCCTATAGTTGCTCAGTAAACTAACCTAAACCAAACTAGATCTTTAGCTTAGCAAACCAAACTAAACTAACCTGAACTACTACGGGGTCTACGAATACTAGTTGCAAGTACGTCGTTCCTAAGCTCTTACTACTGCTATTATATCCGCTAAATAATCTATAGCTTCTATAGCGGTAGCGGCTATAGAAGTAGACTCCTTAGAAGCAGGCTTATAGCGTACTTAGTGTTTATTCTATAGGTCCTTACTGTTACTAGACTGCTAATAAGCTACTAGTCCTTCTTCTTACTACTAGACTAACGCTTACAAAGCTATACCTTACGGCGAGTTAGATATAATAGTATTATAGTAACGTAGATGCCGCTATTATTAGTTAGACGATAGTATTTGTTAAATAGGTACTAGGAGACGTAAATAGCCTTTATTATAGCCTCTCGCTTAGTACAATGCCTCTTAGTACGCTCGAAATTAGCAAGCAACTACTCTATAGTCTCCTAGAAGCAGTCGAAGGTAACGTTATAGCCCTATAAACGTTAAGTCGCTTCCTTAAATAGTATAAAGAATAGGCGTATCTCTTTAAGAATAAGCTAGTCTACCTCGATAAGCCGGTATCTACTAATCTATAGCATACTAATAAACAAGGCGTTAAAGATAGGCCTTATTTAAAGGGCCTCCTTAATTATTAGTAAGTAGCTATTCTAGTAAGTCTTACCTAGCGACTTCGGATAGGTAGAGGGTAGCTTCGGTTATATCTTAGCTAATTCTCTAAAGGCGTTATAGAAGTTATTCTCTCGCTATAAGACCCTAGCTAGGTAGTAGAGACGCTATAATAGAGATTGCTTAGTAAAGTACTCCGTGCTAGGATCTAACTATCTAGATATAGAGACCTTATCGTTGTCGCACTCGGCTTAGTTATTAAATAGCACTTGCCGTACTTAGAGCGCTCTTTAATCGGCTAACTCTACTACTTCCGTAGACTTAGAAAATACAAAGGCTTATATAGTAGGGTTAATAGTATAGCTAAAGTAGCGTAGACGACGGCTCTGCTTAGTCTAGTATATATCGCCCTTCTTATATATATAGAGCTTAATCTACTCGTAGAGGGTATTATTCTTAGCGGTATTATTAGCAGTTATCTAGCTAAGCTTATAAGCTATAAAGAAGGTCTTAAAGTACGAGATTAATAGCTAAGTAAGAAAGTCGCTAGTATAAGAGCCTCGTTATAGCGGCGGCAGGTTAATAAGGACTTAAGTAAGCGTGCCGTGCTTATTAATATACTAATAGTTAATCGCTTAGAAGTGCTTACAGCCGTATTGCACCTTCTGTATATTAGTGCTAATATAAAGGCAACTAATAGCCTTAAGAAGCGCTATTTTAACCTACTCTCGCTAGTTCTCGAAGTTGCTATACTATACTCGTACTATTATTAAAGTATATAACTTTAAAAGAGCCTTGTCTGTATATAGACTAACTGCTAATACTATCTCTTTAAGGGCCTTAGAAACATAGAAAGAATAAGCAATACTATATACTATAGTATAGCGAGCTATTGCCTACCTAAATTTGTCTATATTAGCTTCTACTATGTTTCTTAGAATAGTAGCTATACGCCTTGCCTCGTTACCCTCGCTTACTACCTATATTTTATTAATATTAATAAAGCCTTATCGCGGATCTTTATCTAGATAGATAACAATACTATATACTACCTTAAGAAGGTAGTCTACTACGTTACTAGATACTAATTTCTATACCTTAGGACTGTCTACTAAATAGTGCTTATAGTAGAAGTATTTATAACCGTATCTATTACGAGTAGGCTCGCTATCCTACGGATCTGAAGTATAAGACTATAATACTAGATCTGTCTTATTCTTTATAAAGTGTAGCTTCTTCTACTAAGCGAGTATTAGTAGTATAGGCCTTATTGCTAGTAGTAGAGTTAGAAGGAAGGCTAAAGAAGAGGATATCAATTGCTAGGTATCTTAAAGCTCGTCTAGAGTCGGATCTAGTACTAGTTCGTCTACGCTATTCGTACGCTTACGTTTCCGTAGTTTCTAGCTTTCCTATTCGAATTTTTAGGTATTTAGGAAACTTTCGAGCGCTCGTTAGGTTAGTATACGATTTTCTCGTATTTTTTCTATAAGGAAGAAGGTAGTTAGGTTGTAATTAGAAGAGATAGATTTAGAAATTTAAGTTTAGAGACTAAGTGCGGCCCGCTTTTAGTTAAGCTATCCGAAAGCTAAGAATATAGGTTAGCGAGTCTAATAAGGCTTAGGGTAACCCCTATAACGCAAACTCGAGGTAGATACGGAAACTAGAATACTAAAGACCTTCGACTAATTATCTACCTAATTAATAATAATAACCTTACTACTGCCGCTAGCGGCCTCGCTATCGATTAATTGGTATAGTACTCTATTAATTCGACGCCTAAAGTATATCTGCCACTACGTATACTACGATTTTAGCCCCTAACTATACTCGAATAAGTAGAAGTATAGTTCCTTACTAAATTCGAAGTAACGACGAGAACCGAGTAGAAGAATAGGCCTTTCTTTACGCTCTATACCTTTATAACCCTTTTAAAGGCTATTAGCGATACGCTCCTAATAGATAGTAGCCCTTTTAACGATCTCCGCCGCGTAGATAAGGCTCTTTATTATCTTCCTCGTAATCCTTCGAATAGGAAACTATAAGCCCTTCCTTTCTACCTCTCTAATATACTACTCGAAGTCCGCCTATTCTACGTACTCGATAAACGAAATATCGTCCGAATTAGCTTAGTAATCGATTACCTAATTAGTATTAATAAGAGGACAGACTAAGCGGATATTCTCTAGCTATTAGTAGAGCCTCTAGTCTTATAGAGCGAGGAAGGCTTATATAACGGATAGAAAGCGGTAGATTTAAGAAGGTAGTAATAATATAATAACCTCGTATTAAGAGGCCGTTAGCAACTCGGCAACCTACTAGAATTAGCGACCTTAGTATACCCTAGTTCTATCTACCTATCTCGAAGCGGTCTATTCTCCGAGCCTATAAAAAGAGCTTATCTTTTAGTAAGAAACAAGCGATAAATAACCTAATTTCGTATAATTAAAGAGATCTACGTACGCCGTAGTATAACCGTTGAATTACTAACTAAATCTACTAAATATTCGAATATTTAGTAACCTCGTATTTAGATATAGATTTAATATTAAATATAAATCTAAATCAAATCCGATTTAATATTTAATAGCTATAACTAACTATACGGGGTAGCCTTAATATATTTAGTTAGAATATTACCTAGCTTAGTATTCTTCTTACTAAACTTAGGCTAGTTAGACTAAGAGAGGAGCTTTCTAGGTAGTATACTATACTAATATCCGGAATATAAGACTAACCGTATCTCGAAGACGCGGTATTAGAGTCCCTATTCCTATCGACTGCCGCTCGTACTCGGTAGACAACCTAAGCTTACTAAAGTTAGCTATCTTACTTATCGGTTAGTTAAGGTACCCCCGCAAGCGGCTAAGGCCTATTAGCATATATCGTCTACCTATGCCTAACTAATTGCACAGTTTCCTACTTATGTTGTGCAGGCATGCAATTTAGGCGAGCAAGGTGCAATAGCAACCGAGAGCTGTACCTGCTACTATAGAGAAGCTGGATCCGATAACTGGCGGTTAAGGGACTGCTAACATGGCTGCTAAACATATACGCTACACTTATACCGCGAACTTGATCGACTTTCCCGGAGACTCACGCATCGATGTTATCTGTGTCGCTTTAATCACTCCAGATCGACCAGTGATGCAGGGGATATATCAAAAGGGTTTGAGTGAACGACTTTAGCATGATCGGCAGTCCTTGCTTTCAGTTGACTCTTCAGCGATGCACCCATCCTCAACTCTCGTACACGAGAACGCAGATCCACGACGAGCGATGAGATTTATGCGATCTTCATCTCCGCTTTATCTTTCTGCTATCCGGCTCTTTTGGCACAGACGCACGGACCTGCATAACTTCCCCTTACGATTTCCAAGCACAACTATCTCTACTTTCTCAGAGTACGAGTCTATCTACTCAGTCGTCCTCAAAACAAGAAGCACTTTGTGCCGACTCTATTTATAGGCAGGGCTGACAATTCAAGCAAAAGCTTCGCTAGCATCAATCCTCTCTCGACTATATATGCCAAGATGTCGAATATTTTCTTTGCATTAGCCTCTTTTGCCTTCATTACCTCATCAAGGACTCAGAACTTACCGCTCGGGGTCTCTCCTCCTGTAGCAAAAGCATGTGGCTCTACCGACAGCATTGTCTGCGTCGACCGTTATACTTCTGTCCTACCTTACTACTTTTTCCGAGCATCAGCCGATGCCAGCGGCGCAGGTCCAGGCTTTGCAGGAACTGCAGTTCCAAATGATACCTCTTTTGGTCTGATCTCGAAGGCCACCTTCGTCGTCTTTGACAAGCAGCGCGGTTTGGAGATTCTTGGCTCGAATCCGACGTACGACTTTTTCTTCGAGATTTCAAAAGCTATATATAAAGCACCAGTCTGGGTTCCGGCATTAAACAAGCTGTTTTTCAGTCAACTTGCTCCTCCACCTGGGTACTTGCCTCAGCTTGTTGTAGATCTAAACCAGGATCCCCCGACTCTGAGCGAGTATCTCAGTGATCCTCCAGTCTATGGGCCGAACGGAGGGACGTTCTACAATGGCTTGATTTACTGGGGCAAGTCTGACTCTCCAGAATGAATGGTCGTTGGCTGATCACTATTGCTAGCTGCATCTGGTAGCAACAACTCGATAGGTGGCACTGAGCAGCGCATTGGACTGCAGACCCTGGATCCGCTCACCAACAAAACAAAAGTGCTGCTAAACAACTATGTGAGTCTTATGGGCTTGTGAGATCTGCCCGACTTCATATCAGCTGCTGACTGCAAGCAGTACGGCTACTACTTCAACTGTGTTGATGACCTGTTTGTCGACCCAGCAGACGGCTCGGTCTGGTTCACAGATCCGGAGTACTCCTGGTTCAACAAGATTGCCGATACGCCACCTCAGCTCAAGCCTTCCTCATATCGGTTCGATCCAGCCACAGGGGAGACGATTGTGGTTGACGACTCTTTAGAGCAGCCCAACGGGATCGCCCTCTCTCCAGATGGCAAGCATATCTACATCAGCGACACAGGTTTTGTCGCCGGTTCCAGAGTGGTCCACAATGGCAGCCCTCTCAACCAGACCGGCACACGAGCCGTGTACAAATACGATCGTACGGATGGAGGCAAGCACATCACGAACAAGCGTCCAATCTTTTATGCTTATGAGGGTGGGCCGGATGGTCTGAAAATTGCACAGAATGGTTATGTTGTGGCCGCCACTGGTCCAGGCATTGGTGTTCTCGATTCTGCGGGCAGTCTCATCTTGAGGATTCAGACGAATTATACGGTACAGAACTTCGCTTGGGTTGGTCCGAATTTGACTGAATTGTGGATGATGGGTCAAGGTGGTGTCTCGAGAGTCCGGTGGAACTTGAAGGGACAGGATCTTGCTAAGATGAAATCTTTATACTGACTGCATACCTAAAATGAACGTTCGGACGATTGCTGATTGTACTACGCCCATCTGACTGGGCCAACTTTTATCGTAGTGTTAGTATTGAGATCAAGAGCTTTCCGTTTCTATAATGTTCCTAGTCGACCTTGATATTATATATTTGCCGAGGAACACTTCTCAGCGCATCGAAGCAGCGCTATAGCAGCGTAATTGGGATACATCTCCGCAACCTCAAGCGCCGTACTTTCTCGGGGGTCGCGGATGGAGACATCAGCACCCCTTCGAATCAGCATTTGAATAACGCTCGGTCGTCCAGTGCTTGCTGCCTCGTGAAGGGCGGTCCCTAGACTAACGACTTTCCGTACTTTATACGAGAAAAGATCGTCTTCGTACAGCACTTTGTTGATATCAGGCTAACAGCGTGCAAGCACAAGCCGCAAAACATCTTCAGCATCGTCAAAAGTCCGCCGTACCGCACAGTGGAGCAGCTGTCCTCGAAAATATATGCTTGCAGGCGGCTGCCCGTGTCTACAATGTGCGAGCGAAGCTTCCGCCCTACTTGTGCGTCCTCTTGCTTGCCGCTTCCCTATAGTACAAGCTCGTACTCTTTGTTATAAATTGAATCGTTGTTGTCTTCGTATTGTCGTCGTGTTGTCGTCGTGTCGTTATTGTATCGTCTCCGTATCGTCTCTGTATCGTCTCCGTATCGTCGTTATATTGTCTTCGGGTTGTCTTCTAGTCGTAGCCGCAATCTTTTTATCTTCGCTAGTTAGGTTATCTCTACATCTAGAGGTCTTAGCCCTAGCTAAGCAGAGCGCGTATGCGGTTCTCTTATAGGATTTGGCTAGCAAGAACCTTAACTTTTAGAATCCGGGGAACTACCTAGATAGCTAAATAGCACTTCGAGCTACTAATATCCGAGACTACTATAGCAGTGCGAGCTCCGTTCGTAATAAAATGCTCGAGGCGTAGTATATAGAGAGTTATTTAGTAATTAGTAGTAGTATACGTTCTATAGTAGTAATATCTAGCTTGTACCTTGCGTTCGGATTAGCGCTATTTCTATTAATCTCTAAGACTTTCGCTCGACTATATTTTATATCCTCTAATAGAGGTTATACGTCTTAGGTAACTCCTAATAACTTAGATATTAAAGATAATAGATATATCTAAATATATTTCTATTTAGAGCTATCTTTACCTTTAATTATCTTAATAATAAATAACTCTATTAACATATTCGAAAAAGACGAACGATATACCGTAGATAACGACTACTCCTATAGAGCGATACGAACCGATTTAATCGATATACGAACCGATTTAGTCGATATACGAACCGATTTAATCGATATACGAACCGATTCGAATACTATTAAACGATAAACGACCGACCTAGTCGATTTAGGAACCGATTTGAACTGTTCTAACCGATATATCGACTCTAGATTTACAAAGAGGCCTATAGAGCTTATAGTCCCTACTATACTACCCTTCGAAAAAGAGACTTATAGTCTGTTATAGTAGTAGGAACCCCTACTTAAAGACCTCTAAGAAAGGCTAGCGGTATAGTATCGCCTAACGATAAGAACTAGGAAACGTGAAAGTATCTAGGGTAACGTATCTATCCTCCTTATAGGATACTGTAAAAGTGGAGTCTAAAAGTCTCATTGTATGTGCGACCCTATATATATTAGAGAGTATCTATTGTAGGTACGATTGTCTAGAGAAATATCTCTGTATAGATAAAATTATCAGCTTTTTCTATAAGTATAGGAACTAGATAATACTACCTATAGATAATGTCTTTATAGGCAACTTTATATTATCTAAGGGAATATCTATAGATTCGAGAAATTTCTGCTATCTATAGAATATCCAAGACAAAGTCAGTATAGATAGCCTATCTATATTAATATATCTCTAGTTTAATACATATTATCTAAGATAACAGTTATTCTATTAAAGGAGTAAGAGGATCTTTGAACTATCTATTCATTTGTGTAGAATAAGAAATTAAGTATTATTCTTTTAATACTCTAGAATAGTACTATTCGTTTTCACTTTTATAATATCTGGGTATATTAGCAGTAACTATACCTAGAGACTTATTCTAAGAGACATATACAAGATAAATGTCTATTAATACATAATAGATATTATACTAGTAGACTATCTATGCAATTTAGGAACAGACTAGCTTACCGTAGATTATCTAATAGACTAGATATCTTTATAGAAATTCTATAGTGGACGATATATCCAAATATCTATACGTCTATAGATCTTAAGAGCTTTATTAAAGTAGCGGATCGCCTACTAAACATAACTATTAAAGATACTATCTATACCTATTGAGACTTTTATATACTTTCGAAAACTATTGAACTATATATCCTAATATTGCTATCTTACTAAATATAGATCCTGTACCTCCTTCTACTACTACTAGTTATAAAAGGGCCCTTCCTAATAATCCGGATACGTTCTTAGTAAACAACTATTAAATATAAACCAACACGTAATATAAAACCGCTAGCGCGACTAATAGAAGCGAAGAAGGTAGGGATAATAAAGAGCCGGAAAGAGAGTACCTAAATCTAGTATTTCGAGGTCTAGTAACCGCTACGGAATATACGCTAGTATTAATACCGCCTACTACTTTATACGCGAGCTATAGAGAAGCGTAAGACGTAGCAATATAGTTTGGCAAAAGCGAGGGCTTCGTATATATAGGTTAAGGCTAGCGGTATAAAGATAATCGATAGTACCGACTAGAAGATACTATTAAAGCATAATACAGAATTGAGATATATCCGCGCCTAGTATTTAAGATCCCTAGTCCTAATATTTACAAAAACTCTTTAAATCTATTTATCTTGAAAGAGATCGACTCTATAAGAGTTATCTTACGAAATACGAATTTTTGTACGATTTCTAGGCCTTTGTTTCTATTTAAATTATAAAATTATTATTACTTCTCTATCGGCTATTTCACTATTAATTAAGAGATTCTAGAAAGTTCTAGTAGATTAGGATATCTCCAGTCGTTTTTTTAAGATCCGAGAAGCTATTAGGACTCTATCGATAATCCGTTTATTAGAATACTAAAGTCGATAGCTACTACTAGTACTATACCTAGCTAGGAAAAAGGATATAGTTAGATTTGCCTAACTTAGAGTATTTTCCGAATCCCTAAATTAATATTTAATAAAAATTAGTTATTACTAACTAACTATAGCTAATACTAGCTAATACGCATCTATATACAAATTAGATATACTAGACTCGCGTTAGATTTATAGTAGGTTTTCGATTAGGAAGACTATGTACCTAAATTTTTAATCTATACTAGGATTTAGGCGTTTCGGCTCTATTCGTCTTAGTATCAATATAAATTAATATACTCTGTGACTCTTATATAAATATACATTTTATTATACCCTTTGTAGGGCATTTTCTCTAGTTCTTGTTTTCCTACTAGTATTCCTAGACGATCTAATATATTATCTATACTATTATTATTAGTAGTATCTATATACCTTCTTATCTATCTATTTGTTTTTTTTATCGGTATCTCTTACGGAAATCGTGTCTCTAATAACGACAGAGATCTTTCTAAAGATCTTTCTATTACTATAGTCTTTTACTTAATGGATCCCTAGACTTTACTCGTATCTCTATATTAAGAAGAGCGATTAAGTTTTTTATTAAGACTATAGTAAGTACTATAGTGTTTATTTTCTTAAGATAGTATCGCTTTTAGTTACTTTAGAACCGTTCTTATTACAGTCTATAGAGTCGTCTCTTTATAGATATTTTATAGATACTACTATAGATAGTTATAGTATTCTATAGTAATTAAAACATATTAACTAAGAATAAACTTAGTAATAGCCCTTCTTAAGTTCTCTTATAGATACTACTATAGATAGTTATAGTATTCTATAGTAATTAAAACATATTAACTAAGAATAAACTTAGTAATAGCCCTTCTTAAGTTCTCTATTAAGACCTAACTACCTTCCTAGAGACAGAAGAAACCTTTTAAGAATTTAAACTTCTAAAGGTAGTCCTAAGTAAATATTTCTAATAGGACTTCGGTTTCTTATTAATTCTCTATTATTAGGAGCTATTCTTTGGTTTCAATTTTAGATCTTGTTTTTTTTCTAAGAGATAGACGATACCCTTATAGAATCTAAAGTTATTAAAGTAGTCCTTAGCAAATATCCCTAAGGAGCTAGGACTTTAGACTACTAGGACTAATACTCGGGAAGTAATTATTATCTATCTTATCTATACGTATTTATAGATTGGCTATTGTTAATTTTTATCGATACTACAAGTCCTAATAGTAAGAAATACTAAAAGAGGACGAATAGAGCTAGAGAACCTAGGTCTTAGCGTTATTAACTAATTAGGCCTAGCGAGCGCCTAACTAATCGCGAATCTACCGCGAATCTAACGTATCCGGAATCGAGTACGATAGATGTTATCCGGTACTAGCTTAGCTTAGTTAGCAATAGCTAAGCACTACTAAATCTTAACCAAGGTATTTAGAAGATACTCTAAGCGGAGCGAGCTAGTATATGCATTATCTCCTAGTTAGATATAGTGCCGGTAGTAGCCGTCAACCCTGGCACCCTTATAGAGGGGGCCCCCCGTAGAGTTCTGCTAACCTCTAGAAACTTCTAGAATTTATTAGTTAATTCTTAAGTTACCGATTAAGAAGCCCTAAGTAATTTCTAAGTAGAAGGGCCTAGAAATTAGTTAGAAATTTGTATCTTAAGAGAGAACTTCTATAGGTTCGATCGCCTTTAGAATAAGTAGTTCTAGAGATCTAATTACGAGATAAGAACTAGGGGTACCTAGTAGTACGCCTAAGCTATTACGTACCTCTAGAATATTCTAGGACTTTAGTAGCTAATATAATAAGGCGACGAATGTCTCTGCTTAGCTAGATAGGCAATTTAACTTTTGTCTACTCGATTACTACTACTAGGACTTCCGACACTCCCTACGACTTCCGCTCGAATATATATTATACCCTCGAATAGATATAAATACCTATTCAGAGGTCGGATCGCTAACTTCTAAGTCCTATACTATCTCTTCTCTAAACGTTGCTAAGAAACTTAGTCGCTAAGCGGTTAGTATATTCGCTAACTATTCCCTAGTCGCTATATATCTAAGATCTATATATTTCTTCCGAACTTTCTCTATTATATAGTATCCTAAGATAACTATATACTTAGTCTAAGAATAGAAGTTAGTATTGTTCGCTAGTACTATAGCTAATTTGCTACTAATATATACTAGACAGTTACCTATTTTAATACCGAATTCTTTATATATAGCTTTTAGAAAGATATATTCTTTAAAACATTTTTTAGAGTAATATATTTAGCCTCGCAACTAGACTAAAGATATACATTTTTCTAACGTAATCTGCTAGCTAATGAGCGCCTTATATTCTAAGAAAAAAATATATCCTAAAGAGAATACTAAGTTATATAGTTACCCCCCTTATCGGTATCGTTATTAAGGGCTCTAATTGTAGTTCTTATACTTACGCGGCATTAAACATCTTCGGCTTCCCTAGGTATTTCTAAATCCTATCTAAAGTCTAGAAATACGTCTTAATAGAATTGAAGAAAAACCTAGATACTGTATCTATAGTATAGCTTGTATCTAGTCTTGTCTTAGTTAGTAGGCACATTAAAGAATCCAATTCGGCTTGAAGCTGCTTTAGAGACTTTTAAGAAGCTAATTTCCTAGATTTTTCTAGATACTACCTAATATCGTTTAGTATAGAAATGGGATTTAAGGCCTTTTTATTAGATCTAGGTATTAGTCTCTCTAAATAGCCTGTAAACTTAGAGTAGTAGATATATCTGTTTAGTTTTAGTAACCCCGCTACTAAGATACTATTTTATACGACCTAGATCGCTTAGTTTTAGATCGCGTAGTTCTAGATCTCTAGATAAAGCGTTTTTAAGTTCTTTTACTTAGACCCTATTCGGGCTAAAAATAAGTATCTTCTCTACGTAATGTGCTATTATAAGACCTATTTTATTTTTTATAAACACTACGTTATCCTTCTTAAGGAATCTAAAGCCTAGTTTAGCGAGTAGGAATTTTACATATAGAGACTCCTCCTATATAGAGCCTTAATCTTAGCTATATAAGGAAGTAATTAAACGATAAACTTTAGTCTCGTCTTTCTCGAAACCTGTAGCCTGTGCTATATAGCCCCCCTTGCCTATAGACCTGTTAGGAGACGCTAGTTTAACGTCGTATTACCCTATTTACTAGTAGCAATAGGCGGCCCTAGCGGAAAACGATCGCTAGGTTTTAGGACGATAGGTATTGCTTAAGGTCTATTCTTAATTATTGCGGAAGCTTACTCTTACTACTAATAACAAAGGCCCTACTATCTTTAGCTAGCAATAGTCGAAGGTTAAGGCCAAACTAGCTTAGAAAACGTTAGATCCGGACTATATAATATCTACTAGCCTATATATCGTCCGCAAGACTATAGGTCCGTAGTATAGTTACGAGATATTACTATATATTTATAGCCGCTTACTAGCGCCTATACCGCTTCTAGACCCATTTAACGCCTTCTGCTATATTCTAGGTAGCTAGTCGGCTAAGCGAGTTGCTAACCGTATTATTACTCTATAGGTAAGGCGCTATAAAAGACAACTTCGCGCTTAGCAATTATATACCGCTAATACTAGCAAATACGGCACTTAGCGAGATCCCTCGAGATACGAGTATATACATACCCTAACTACGTACTTACTGCTACCTAACTAGTACGCCGCAACGGCGAGCCTATCCGTCTTATCTAGCTAAATGCGCCTTCTTAAGCGACTTAGAAGAAGCTAAAGGGCTATAGTTACTAGCCGTTAAAGAATAGGCAATATAGTAGTACTAGTTATAGTTATAAGAAAGGCAACTTAGGCTTAAATAGATACTATACCTTCTATTACTATAGAGACACTATCTATAATAATATAGATATAGCGATAGTAAGGCTAATATAATAACTAGCCGCTACTATAGAAGAAGATAAGATTAATAGGTTAACTAAGCTCGTTAAATAATAGTAATAATAGCTATAAGGCCTTCTATAAGGCAAAACGTAGTAATAAGCGGAAACTAATACTAGTACTACTACTAGCTATAATAGTATAGGCCTCTATAGGCAGTATAACCTATCGTAGTATAGATAGCTATACTTAGCAATTAGAAAGGGTAGACTTATAGTCTAGGCTATAGTAATTAGAGCCCTATAGTAGAGGCACTATTAGAGTGTAATAGAAATAGTATATTATACGAGGTTAATAATTCTATATCTCTACTAAAGGGTGCCTCTTTTGTAGGCTTACGACTAGCTACCTTACTAGGGTATATAGGCCGGTTACTAGCTAATAGTAGCAAGGCCTCGTTACGAACTAAATTCTTTACTAATAGCCCTAGTAGCTATACTAGGCGATGTTATAGTAGCTGCCTAGAATATATCGACAAGTTAGCCGCTATACTATAAGGTAATATCGGATTTAAGTTGCCCTAGTAGTAGGGGCCCCTAGCGAAGTAGGTCGCCTAGTTAGCCGCCTATTTAGCCGTATAACGTAATAACTTATAGACTCCCGTAGAGGCCGTATATAGTATATTAACACGTTATGTCTACGACGCGCGTACGAACGATAGTAAGTAAGATATATAGGAGAGCTATAGGATAGATCCGAGTAGTAGGAAGGAGCTAGAGGATATAGAAGAGCTAGAAGAAATATCTTTACGCAAGAGTAGCTAAACGAAATAGGAGCGTTCGCGCTCGTACGCCGAACGCGATAGTAGAGAAATAGGATTACTATAAAGTAACGGTCCTAACGGATAGACGGGATAGACGCGCTCGCGTTTACGCGCTAAGCGTAATAGTAGGAAAGGACCTAAAGATAGTAGTTTACTAAGAAGTAAGTAAATAAGATATATATACCTACGCTTACGTATCGGATATACTAGACTCATATAAAGCGGGATACTTAAGAAAGAGCTCTCTCTTTAAAGTCCTCTTCTTTCCTTTCTTTATAGTTCGTCTTATATAGATAGTAGCTATATTAACGTTACGGAAATTCTTTTCCCGATCGCGATAATCCTATCGATAGGATTGCCTAGGATCGCTTAGGATCCTTAGGATCCTTAGGATTGTATATTAAAGATCCTATCTAATAGAATCGCTTAGATTTGCGGAGTCGCAATCCTCGAGATAGGCTATCCCGAAATTCGAGGAAGTATAAATATAAGAATCTCGGTAGTAGACTAATAGAGTCGGCCTACTATAATAGGGATTACGACGAGCTAAGCTTTTACCGACCGACTAGGGTCCGACGGCGGACTACTAGCGGGCTACGTCGCCTATACCTATAAGGGCTACGGCGTATATGTCTAAAAAGACTACGTCGTTTACGGTTTACCCCTATCTATAGGAATAAAATAGTACCTACGCTCTCCCTTTCCTAAGATTCCTTAAGATTATTCTAGTATACGAATAGAGGCTATTTTACTATTATATAACCTAATAATCGTCTTATATACCCTTAATTCTAACAATATCCTAATATAATAATCTTTAAACCTTTCTACTAAGGGTAGCGGTTCGATATACCTCTAAAGAGATTAACTAGCCGTATAAGTACCTAATAGCTAAGCGATAGTAGTATACTATCTACGGGCTCCGATATCGTTTTAGGTAAATCGACTCTACTCTCGGAAGTACTAAGTAATAGAGAAAAAAAAGCCTATAGGCTAACTTCGTAATAGGGGACCGTAAGATATTACTATAAGTAGAGCTCGTTCTAAAAAGATATTTAGAACTAAAGAAGTCGAAGAAGACGACTTCGTTAGAAACGCTCGTATATTAATAGATAAAGAAGAGAGCGACGATAACGACGACGGATAGCTAGCTACTAAGCCTATAGAAGCAAAGACAACATAGCGCGTACTCCTAAAGTAAAAGCTTACTCGCTTCGAGAGAGATAACGATAAGCTTACTAAGGAAATAGGCCGCTAGGGCAACTCCTCTAGGTCTATAACCTAGGGATCTAAAGCTATCCCGCCTTTGTTACGCCCCTAGCTACTATAAAATACCGCTAGCAGACGCTATATAGATAGCCGTAAGCGAATAGCCTCCTTAACCGATTATAGAATGTCTCCTAAGAGAACTACTAGGGATCCTCCGATATATAAGGATAAGAGCCTAAAGAAGCATCGCGAGTAGTATATAGCGTACGAGATCGCTTTTCTCTAGGCGCTATATACCTACGATTCCGATTAGTCTAAGATTACCTATACTATATAGTTCCTTAAAGGAACTTTAAAGGAGTTATAGTAGAAGTAGTAGCTCTGTAACGAAAAGCTACTAGAGCTCCTATAGGAGTACCGTACGTAGTAATAGTTTATTAACTAGTTACTAGACGAGCTAGATAGCCTAACTGCCTATATAGTCGACGTATATAAGAAGTATAGTAAGACTAAGTAGCGAGAGGGCTAGAATTATAGGATCTTGCTCTTCTCTATAGAGATCCTAGAGGAACAGATCGAACCCTAATACCTATACTCCTAACTAACTCCTTTTCTATTACTTTTCCTACCTATAGCCTAAACTGCTATAACGCAATTTTAAAGAACCGTAGGAGCTATATCGACTAGCGACTACGCTTAAGAAGAACCTTACCGCGAAGGGTAGGAACCCCTAGCGTCCTCGCCTAGTATTAGCGCCGGCGAACCCCGATTAGGGAAGGTCTAAGCTAAGAGATAAATCTAGGCTAAGGAGAGAAGATAAAGATAAAGATAAAGATAAAGATAAAGATAAAGATAAAGATAAAGATAAAGATAAAGATAAAGATAAAGATAAAGACAAAAATAAAGATAGGGGTAAGGATCGATTTAGAGATAGAAAGCCTCGCGCCCTAGCGGCTAATAGTAAGAATAAGGAGATCCGATACTACTACTATATTAAGGTAGGATATATCCGACCCGACTATCTTAAGAAAGATAAAGAAAAGAAAGGCAACTATAATAAGTAGCTTCCTAGTCGCTTAGGAAAAGTATAGGCTTTATTATAGCCTCTTCGACGGCGGTAGGGCCTATTCTAGTATAACCGGAGGAAGTAATTAAAATAGTTAGCGAGATTCGTACTCTATAAAGAGACCGCTAATAGATCGATATTACTCTCGGTACTAGCGCCTAGGTAGCTCTCCTATAGTAACGACTAGTAGTTAAGTAGGACTTACCTCGTAATAATATAGACCTTCTATACCTCTAATAGTTAAAGGATTAGCAGATAATCTACTACGGCGCATATAATTTAGAGCTCTAGTATAACGGATAGTAGGGTTAAACGAGAACCTATAAGTTTCTTATATATAGTATTAGCTAGAGTAGGATCGGACTCCTAATCGGAAGGCATATCCTCTAATCTACTAGTATCGATATTTAGAACGGGCCGGGGACTTAGATATAGGGCTCTATAGCGTAACAAATTAAACGTACGTCGCTAAAGCGCCTAAAAAGGGAGGCAAAGAAGGGAGTAGTTATCTACTACGTAGGCTAGCTAGGACTAGGGACCTACCGCGGTACGCCGGCATTCTAAATCCTTAATATCGTAGTAGGTATAGAGCCTCCCTTACCTAGCGTACTTAAATCGTATCGAGATATATTCGATAAAGACTCTACGAGTATCCTTCCCTTATTTAGATAAACTAGTTATACGACTAAGCTAGTCGAAGGGAAAGAACCCCTTTATAGACTATTATATATCCTCTCCTCTCGAAAATTAGAAGTTCTTAAAGAGCATCTAGCTAAAGAGCTCGAGACCGGCTATATCGTATATAGTACAAGCCCTACCGGCGCTCCGCTCCTATTCGTACTAAAGAAAGATAGGAGCCTATACTTTTGTTAGGGCTAAAGAGGCTATACGTAATTGGCATGTAACTAGGCTAAGTAAAGCTAGGGACTCGGTACCTTAGGTAGGGCTTAGCGCTTAGCGTTAGGTTAACTAGCCTACCTTCCTCCTTCTCCTCCTAGATCTCTATCGAATACTACCTATACCTACTACTACCCTATCTACCTACTAATATAACCCTTCTTATATAGTATTCG